GGGGGGGGGGAATTTCCATAAATTTCCAGAGTGCTGGGTAATTTGACTACTACTCTCCAAAGAAGATGGCGGACGTGCAGCTAACGCGGGGAGCTTTACGTGGATGTCAGTGCTGAGCGTTTGCACGTGTGTGTGTGTGTGTGTGTGTGACAGAAAGACCGCCTTTCTTTTTCCATGCAGTCATCAGTCAGGATAGGTTAGGGCTTGTTCCATTCATCTCTGCTGCATCACTCCATCTCCGCTGAGCAGCCTGGCAGTAATCCCCAAGTCACACCGTGGTGAGCTCAGAGCCAGTCCCAGAGAGGCCATCAATGCCTGTGTTTGTTTGCACGTGTATGTATCTAATAGCAGCATGCTGTACCCTGGGGCAGTGCCAAACAAGAGGCCAATTGGTCTGGAAACCTACGGCTCCCTCACTCACCTGAGGACCATCCACTGGGCAAGAGGCACCAGAGCGAACAGGGGCCCAGTGTCTACCTGCCTGCAGGCCGCCCACACTGCACATGCCCCATTTTCACCTCTACCCCAAAATCCCCTCGGCCGGGTCACATGCTCAGCGCTAAGATGCTGGGGATTTAGCTGACGGAGGAGAACAGCAAGACTGGGGTATTTATGAGGGAGCGTAAATGACAGAGGATCCAGCCGACGCAGATCTGTCAGAGGCGCTCCTAGGTCAGCAGAGTTTCCGTTCTCTGTACATCTTCAGACCAGATATCTGCACTTTTACACCATCTTTCATAAAAAGGCACAAACAAAATGATATAGAGAATATGACTCAAGATCTGACAGGAAGCAATTCAATGTACGAAAGTGAATGAAGTGTGTAAACTACAGCAAAAAAGGTCCTTTTAACTGCCACAGCAGTACGTTAATACCCAATGAAACTCCGAAAGCTGGAATAAAGTGAAAACAGGTTTTGTTATGTACTTTATTCTGTAGTAATAATAATTATGCCCTTAACATGAGGTGTAATTAACCCAGGACTAAAACAATTAAGAAATACATCCGATACAAAAGCGTAAAATGAAATACGAATCTTATAAACACAAGAACTTTGCCAAGCAAGCAGGCCAAAGGAGTCAACACACATCAGGTGTGTGTTGAGGGGTAGGAGGGTTTAACCAGTCAAACCACTGAAAAGCAGGTTCACATTAACCCTAACCCAGTCATCCCACTCCATTGTATAATGATCTCTCAGATTTACTATGACTCAGTCTCCAAAATGCAGAATTCCTTGCACTGGTACGCTCTTCCTTCAAGGCTGGAGGCCTCCAGAAGTCCATGTGCTCTGACGGCCCTCTGGTCAGAAACGCATCCTTGAGGCGACCGCTGTTTGCCCGCTGTCCTTTTTATGTGGTGACGGGGCCTATTCTGCCTCTGGAGTCCCCGCCACTGTCACAGATCACGCTCCTTAATGCCGTGCGGACACCCAGAACCCTACAAGATCTCAGCTGAGTCTGGTCCAGTGTGATGAAGCACAGTCCAGTGTATTAAATTCCCTTCGTACAACGTGGCCTGTGTCACCACCATGCTATTGCCCCGTTCAGCTGCCTGCCAAGTCACTATACAACAAAACTCAGCGGTAAGACTACTGAACAAAATAAATTAATTCAGTCTATGCAAGATATTTAATACCTCAGAGGAAACTGAAATGTATAAAAGTATAATTTTATATAAGATGCATATATGAGAATTTCAATTTTTTTCTCCTTTGCTCTTTGGTGGTTCTTCCTGCTTTCAGGAAGATGGTGACTCCACAGGCAGGAACTATCCACATCTCCATCGCTTGTGTTTGAGTCTGCATCTTTGGATGGCCCCTCCTTCACCCATCCTCCTCATTTGTGTTTAGTTGCATTTGCAGGTCTTAACTACCATGTTTGACAGCTGTTCTACCTGAAATGAGAACAGGGGCACCTTCAGAACACCGTCAGGAGATCATGGAGGAAAGAAAACTTCCTTTCAGACCATGGACCAGCTGGTGTAACAGCTGCAGTGAAGATTGATGCACATCCTGATTTTGCCGAGTTCAACGTGTCCCTGGGTCAACAAGGGAGTTGTTGATTGGTTAAAGAAGGGAAACACAAGCCCCTCCGGCTTGTGTTTCCCTTCTTTAACCAATCAACAACTTCAGCACATTGATTAAAACCAGTGTTTTTCTTAAGTGGCGAGGTGGACATATTCTGTTTAATTGTCCATGCCTTTTGTTTAGGATTCAAAACACGGGAATATGCTTACCTGCAAAGGCTGTACAGAGCAATGTAAGGGTGTGTCTTTATTTTATCATGATGATAAAAGCAATAATAATAATAATAATAATAATAATAACAAGGCGCAAACCAACAACCTTTCCGATCTCAAGCACAGGGGCTTAGCCCACTGAGCCACACTGCTGCTAGTTGGATGGCTGGAAGCCTTGAGTTTGAAAATGAGAAAAAAACAGGCCAATGCGGTGATGTCACACAATGAAGGCTGTGATTGGTTAAAGAAGTGAAACGCGAGCCCTTCCCTTGTTGAACCACATCGAACTCGGCAGAATCAGGATGCGCAGAGAGTGACGGCCAGTCCTTCACCTTGTGCTGCCTCCCTACGTAGTAGAGAATGGGCAGGGGGTCCAGGACCTGAGGTGCGCAGCAGGGCTGTGCTGACGCCCCCGGGTTGTGGTGTTTGTACAGAGCCAGGATCTGCCAAAGGAACAAACAGAACCACTTTTAATGGGGGAGCGACTCCCCAAAGCAGCCCATGCTGCTGGGCTCAGTCTGACTCGTCTTCCACTGGCTCATTTGTCTTCCCTATGTGAAGCTCATAAGGAAACAGTTAAACTTACTCAGTGGCATTGGATTGCATATGTACACACACACACACACACACACACACACACACATATACACACACACACACACACACACACATATATACACACACACACACATACACACACACACAGACACACACACACATATATACACACACACACACACATACACACACAGACACACACACACATACATACCCACTTACATATAGAATGTACAAAAATATATACTTGAATATAAATGTACATAAACATACTCCCACAAAGCATACTGTACATAGTATTTAAACTGAAACACAAGCAGACTCCCAGCATGGTTCGCAGCACCAAACCCTGCAATCCCACAGAGACCCTTGAATTATGGCAGATGTTACAGTAGATGATGGCTCAGTGTGATGGCTCAGTGGGATTACCGACCTTGGGACACAGCGCGGTCCATGCTGTATTTAGAAAAAGCCACAAGACCCCACCCGTCCTGCCAGCAGCAGGGGGGGTTACTGCACAGTGGTGCGGCACAGCCATTAATGTACACACAATATGGAGAGTATTTTTAACCAAGGCCTACAGGCATACATCAACACGCATCCATCGATATCCATGGCCTATTAAATTCAATAAAAAGTGTGATTGGCTTAATTAAACCCATTAAAGCCTCTTAATGAGTACCTGAGAGTACTTATTGTCCGCATTCCAGATGTACGTGCAGGAGCCCATGCAGTAGTTGGCATGGTATCCTTTCGGTCTGTGGATCCATTTCCAGCCCAGATCTTTCCGGAAGTCAATGTACAGCTTCCGCACGCAGCAGTTTTCATTTTTTCTGTAGTTAAAAGGACATCAGATTATCATCCTCTGTCCCAGCTGAGAAAGACTCATGAAGATTCACACCTGGGAGTGGTTGGACTCACTCGGAGCACGACTCCTCCGTGGCAGTAGAGCGCTTCCTGCGTGACGTGAGCTGGCCGGCGCGGTCCTGAGGGATCGACATCACCAGGAGGTGGGGTTTCTCCATGTTCTTGGACATGGTCTCTAAGTCCCCTCTTAACTCCTCCATTCCTACAGGGCGACACAGTCAAGTGAAAAATCTACCTCTGGAGCAGACAGACGTGTTTGTGTGGGGAAGCTGGCAGGACACAAGAACCCTAGACTTTTGCCATTTAAACCTAGCAAATCATCTAGTTCGGCATTAAACCCCATTGCCTGCAGTGTCGCCCCTCCAGATTCAGTGAAATTATTCCATTTTTCCCCCGATAACAATGGTGCTGTGTTTGGAAGCGACTGACCCAGTGCCACTGGTAACTAAAATCAAGCCAACCCATGACAGGCTAATACAGGTTCTCTGTCTACGAATGGAAGCAGCCCCCTTCAGACCAGTCAATGAGGACCCACAGCAAATAGCATACCTGAGATCTGCAACTTGAAATTATGAGACGAACCATCACAGCTACAGTGTGGCTTCAGATGCAATTGCTGGGTATCTTCTGCAGAATGACAAACACACAGCACACAGAGGAGATGAGGACCGCACCGCGGACCAACGTTACCGATGACGCTGCAACGATCTCGACCATGGTCGCCATACAGTTCATGAACACACTTGCCATTCCCCAGTAGCCAATCCCTGACGGTCTGTGTAGCATTGAAGGACAGCCACTGGCCATTCATCTTGGAGTTGACGAAGCGTGACCCCAAGTAGCGGGCCTTCTCGCCGTCGCCGCTGTACAGCTCCATCCTCTGCTCTTTGTCCTTGTCCAAGATAACCTCTTTGATGGGCAGCCGTAGCTCGGCGTAGGACAGCAGGTGCTCGCTCACCAACGCTGCCCGAATCTCGCTCAGGTTGAAAATCAGCTGAATCTCTTTCTTATTGGAATCTGGAGGGTAGAAAAGTAGAGCTTTTCATCGCACTGATGCAGAGCAACTACATTTATCTCATTTTGCGCAAAACTTAATATGCTGTTGGCCCACTGGAGGCTGTGATGTGGTCTTGGTGCAGCAGTGTTACTGCAACGCTGCAATTAGCCCAAGTAAACATGCGTTGTAGTATATTGCAGTTCACGAGAAGACCGTGGTGTAACTCCTTTCCGGCCACGACACAAAATAAAGAAGAACCGAGTCCCAGTGGTTTAGGGTTTTGAGAAACTGTAGGGTATTGCGTCACAACCCTGCAATGAAAAGGGGTGTAAGGACTAGGAGTGGGAAAGGGACCAGAGCAAGCCTAGAGGAGACTGGCTCAGACATCTAGGCTCTGACTCTGGTCCGGCTCGATTGGGCCACTGCCCCGTCCCCGGCCGGAATGAGCCACCCTGGGATGTGTACTGGAAACTACATGTTCACAGGGGTGTCCAAGTGACACTGGGGAAGGACAAGCCAACACGAGAGGTGGAGCAAGTGGAAGGAGTGTGACATCTCCATGGTAACCAGCAGAGAGAAAAAAAGGGGTAGGGAAAACAGGAATTGAGGCATGAGTACAGGCGGATGACAAGAGGTGAGGATAGGAGAGGGTTGGAGGAAAAGGAGGGCCAGTCAAACCAGTGCTGCTTTCTCTGGGACAGTCCCTGTGTGCTTGTAGGAGGCTTCTAATGGAAACTCTCCAGTAAGAACATGTTTTTTGACCTGCCCAATCCTAAAATGCCACTGATGCTTTTGTGGAACATACACATGATTCTGCAGACTAAAGCCATGAAATAATCTCAAAACCAGTGTGATATTAAAAACAAAACCGCTTAAAGAGCCAGAAGTCAAAAAAGCACGAGGCTGAGTGTAGGTGTGGAAGATTTGTGTATTCTGCACACAGGTAAACCCAGACAGCTGTCCTGACAGGCAGGCGGGCAGCTCTGTAATTACTCCTGTGAGACCTGGGATACCAGCAGGCTTAAATGGCTGCCGACTGTACTACGCAACACTCGTAGCTGTACATTAACCCCGTCTTCCATCCCAGCGCATGCATTTCTCTCCCTATCCTTCTCTCTGCTGCTCTGCTCTCTCTCTCACTCTAACAGAGAGCCACACAGCCCCAACAGTTACGCAGCTGAAGCTAATGGAGAGTTAATAGTAAACAGAAGATACCGAACTGGCCTAGAAAAATCACCTACATAATAAAGCTTGTTTTTGCCAAGCCTGCCATTTGGAAACTGGAAACAAATAGTGCGATTTACACCCCAGTGTATGCAATCAAGACTTGTATCCAAAAGCCTTGCTGAGATTAAGGATAATGCGCAAAGTAACAACGGTTCCTCATCTTTCAGCCTACGTGAAAGCTGCCATCGTAAAACACTAGTTTAGGCAGAACGTTTATCAGTTTCCTGTTTTTTTAACGAGACACAAATGCTGAAAAACACAAAAGAACAACTTGAAAATTATCTGAACACCATGCTTCAATTGCTTAAATATTTGAATAATTAACTAAAATACTGGCCCAGAATGTTCTCTTCCTCTGTCATAATTACTCTACAACATGGTGGATGTCCAAGGTAGGGCACAGGCGATGCAGAGGCCTAGAGGGCGGCCAAGGCCTGTGCTGTATAACATGCACCATGACGATAGGAAGCCTTACTTCCTCACTATTTTTACAGAACCCCGGCTTCCCTGCGATCAATAGTTTGCCGGCTTCCTTCCTGCCTGCCAGAACCCCACGTGGGCAACCATCTCAAACGAGCTGAGTCAGAGCACTGCTTCTCGGTGATGTCCAGCTCACGCCAGGCAGGTACCGCGGGACTGTTTGGCTAGTGCGACAAAGCATGACTGAGGTGAAACTGAGAAATACAGCATGAAAGAAATGCGAGTTTAACCCTCTATTTGTCTTGGTGTTTGGTATAGTTTTATTTCTCCTAGCAGAAAAGCTTCCTGTTTCTGCTGTGTATGTCTCTCTCAAATGAGCAGCTCCTGCTCCGAAATGGCTGTGGAGGAAAAACACAGGATGGAAAACGAAAACAAAGACCTAAGGACGGACTGAACGGTTACAGAAAGTGGATGGATGGATAGGTCTTATATAGCAAGTCAATACAAGCCAACGGGGAGATTTCACAGGGAAGAGCAAACGTTTTGGGGACACCGTGCGACAGGGGTAACGCTGGGGATTCTGGGAGCACGACAAACCTCAAGCCAGCCAAACTACGCCAAGCACCAGCAGAACCTCAATTCTGAAGATCAGCGTGTTACGGGGACCCTGCGAATGGGACACATCTGTGTGCTGGCTGTCTGTTTATGCAGGGTGCCTTTTTTTGGCAGTAAGTCCCGTGGGTTCGAAACACAAATGACAGGATGCTGCTCTTGTATCTGAACAGCCTGTTTGTTTGTGTGTGTGTACATGTGCATGTATGTATATCTCAGTTTTTAGATACACGCATCCGTGTGTGTGAGTCTGGGTCTACATGTGTATTCATATGCATGTGTGTATTTGTGTCTGTGTGCCTACCTCTGTGTGTGGCTGTATGTGGGAGGGAGTTGCATTTACCTACCATATTATGGGGACCAAATGTCCCCAAAATGTGGCAAAACCTGTTACTTTTTAGCTTGTGGGGACATTTTTCAGGTGTTTGGCTGTGTGTGTGCCTCTCTCTGTGTTTGGCTGTGTGTGTGCCTCTCTCCGTGTTTGGCTGTGTGTGCCTCTCTCCGTGTTTGGCTGTGTGTGCGCCCGTCATGGGCTGTGCATCCACGTGGCCATGCTTGGTTCTCATTACACTGATGCACCACACACCTCCCCACACCTCCACTCACTTGACATAATGTTGAACTTGTGCACTTCCTTGGCAAAGTATTCTTCTTCCTCTTGCTCAGGGGACGAGGGCTGGTCCTGGTGCTGCATAGCCCACTCCTCAGTCATGTTCACCGTACTGTTGTAAGCCGATATCAAGGAGGAGGGGATGTTCTCGCCCTCGTCGCCCTCCTGGGGCTCCGGTTCCTTCAGCAGCCGCAGCTTGCTTAGGATCTGGCCCCGGATGGCCTCAATGCGCTTCCTCTTCACCAGCTCCAGGTCCAGCGTCTTGCAGGTGGACATTCCGTTGCTGCCGCCCACAGTGCCCAGCACCCAGAGTGCAGACAGAGTCAGCCAACCAGCCCACATGGTCAACCTCCCAGCCACTAAGGCCGCCGCGGAAAATTGAAAATACCTTGAGAGTAGGAGGTGTGAGAGCGAGGGCGTCTCGCTGTATCCTCTGCTGATTGTCCTGCTCTGACGGCCTGGGTCAGGGGTCGCCCCCCCCAGGGAAACTGTCACACCCTTAAGGAGCCTGAGTTTCTGAGCACCGCCCTGGTGCCGAATCCAATGCAGAGCTTCCAGCCACCTTGTTGAGAAGGCCTTGCTGAACCGTCACACACCCACACAAATGCCAGCGGCAGCACGAACCTGAAACTCCCCGTTTCACCCCCCGAAGTGCAATTTCGACACCAGCTTCCTCTTACGCCGTCTTACAACGACTGCTGCAGATTCTCCTAGACACGTGACTTCAACAAGGTCTCTTATGACCTCAGAGATGGTTTCCTAATGAAAGTTTCATAAATCCTTAACACCCTGAACCCCTAATCAATCAGTCATGTGTGACAGCTGACTGTGCGCAGGATTCAAGCTTCTCTTAAAAACCAGATTTTTCCAATTCTGTTTTTGCTACTGGATGAAGATCTGTTTCTCCAAATCATATATACTCGAATATATTTTACCCTGAATATCGTTTCGACACAACTTAATTGGTGTGTTTCCTGTTATACCTAAAACTCTACTTCCTTCATTGCCGAAGGACAGGCTTGCAAAATAGCCTCATCAGACTTTAACGTCCCAATAATTTCCCCAGGAGATTTAACCTCGCCTATATAGTCAAACAAATGGCAAAATGAACATCTGGGACTTTCTCACCGTACTCGCCCTGCAGGAACTGGTACAGAATTCTCAAACACATACAGATTCATAACAACAAAACTTCCCCTTTAGCTCAATGATGGCACGAGTCGACTACATCAAGTGCTATAATCTCACAAAAAACCCTCAAAAGAGATGTAGATAAAAAATAGTGCAAGTGTCAAATGAACAATGGAAATGATCCGAAACAGTCAAAACACGCTACGATTTGCAGCACTGTATTACAGTACTTCAGGCTAACATTTTTCTACTTATAAGACGATCGAAACTGAAAAAGCAGTAAGACTTTCCAACAAGTTAACGGACTTCATGAAGAGTTCCTTTTTTATTCAGACAACCAAGTGCTTGAGGGACTTCCTCAAAGACCATCTCCAATAGTGCTTTCCCACTGATTCTCACACGCACGGACAAAATAATTAATAATTAATCCGATAATATACTGCAAAAACAACCCACCTGCTGGCTTCAAATAAATAGAACCGCTTTGTGCCTAAACGATATGAAACAACATGCATTCACAACTCGTGGGTCCTGAAACACCGAATACGGCTCACAAACTGAAATCAGCAGCAGTTACAGTAGCAGAAATAATGAAAATAAAGGGTTTGTGGTCAGCTCTCAGGCGCCCTTCCTTTCCCCTTTTCAGTCCATCCGTCCTGCCATTCTTCTACTGTTATTTTCTTTTAAATTGCACCGATGTCCTCTTCTCAAATCTTCTGCATCCTCCGTTTCCCCCAGCCCGATCTCCTTCTCGCCTCCTATTTTTGGTGTCAAAGGCTGCCTACGGTCTAACAGCTTGTCAGAGCTTGCGGGTGACACAGATGAACTTCATGTGCGCTTCACCGTTTTCTCAGCTGCTTTTGAACTGGTTCCTGTTGCTTTGCTAGAATAGCGAGTTCTCCGCCCAGGAAATGAGAGCAGGCTGCGGAATTGAACATCTGCTGCTTGGAGCAGCGCGGCCGCTCGGTCTTCATTTACCATCAGGAAGTGAGGCTCGCTGCTGGACCCGGCGCTGGCTGGATAAACCCTGCCGGCCGGCAAATTATTAGACCCCCACCGACTTGTGCGTAAAGGGACCGTCCACAGCTTTTTATTTAAAGGCAGACCTGTAGTTGAGTCCCGCATTTAGTGCTTTCGGTGATTTGGCTGGTAAAGTGCCTGTCCGCATCATGCGAGGGCCGATTGACCCATGGTGCTCTATCTGCACGGAAATGTACGGGGAAACCCAGATGCCTGAGGGAAAGATATTTATATAGGAAAGTCACAGACACCAAATAAGCTTATCAGCTGTAGCTGGGGGTGTTTCTAGTCAAAATGTTTCCGTATCTCTAAAGCCTTACTCAGAATTCTCTTTAGGGGGACCTTTCCACTAGCTCAAAGTTACGAAACGTGCTAGTTATAATTAAGCAGTTGGTTAAGTGTTCTGTAAGATATTTAAACAGTAAAAATGAACGAAACACACAAGCAAAAGCTTGTAAAAGCACGAATTATAGTTAAAGAAACGGGGCCAACATTGTCGTACACACTAAGACCCCACAACTGGATAATAACCCACAGCGAATCAAAACTACTTAGCGGGTAGCAGGCAGCGTAACGGCTAAAGTGATGCAGGTGGAAGCTCGAGGATGTCAGCTCTGTGATGTGTGTGCATTTACTTTCCAGGAGAGGCCCTGCTGTAATACTCCTAAAAGGCATATTGGCAACATTATCTACTAGGTGTAACCCATAAATAAAAATGCATGGTACTTTTGATAAAGGTGTCAGATAAGCAACTAATGTGCAGGTATTAATGACGTTGATGTAATATTAGCCCGTACATCTGTACAATATAGGCATAATTAGAGGACAAAACGGTTTGAAATCCAAGACGCGATGTTCAACGTTTATGTGTTTATTGCGCCCTCTGGTGCATAAATTAAGTTTTGTACCAAAGAGTACAACGCTACAGACATCAGGTACTAGAATAGGCCTACATCCATATTAAAGCAAGTAAAACCTATCCGTCTGTTAATTCCCAATAACCGAACGTCCCCTTGGGGTCACTGTGATTCAGGGACTAATCATGGGAGAGAATAAGACAGAGTACAGAACGATATATAGAGCGATTAATAAAGATATTCCCTCGCACCGTTACACTTTGCAGTCAACAGTCTAATCGCAACTGCAACAGCTGGCAAAAGTCATACGAACACGGGGAGGAAGCATAAAATTCTGCACCCACAGCTGGTTGAAACCCCCCAGCCCTGCGAGTAAAAAAACCTGCGCCCTCCCCTCCACTCCTTCCAGTGTGTTCAGTTCACTTCTGGTTATAAATTTAACCATAGCAGTAGATTTTATTTAAAATGCTTAGCTGACACTTTTACCAAAGCCACAGTTTCAGTCATTGATGCAGCTGGATGTACTGAAGCATTTCTGACAGTGTCGTTTAAAAGGTACTACGTCGGGTACCTAGAACAACTGTCATAAGACAGGATGCAGTCTAACCAATTTTATGTATATGGGCTAATATACGACAGATTTAACAGCGTATGTGTTAAACACTAAAATCCATTGGTTACGGTAATTTTACAATATTGTTAAAAAATACCCTCTGTAAACATAACGCGCAGCGCCTGATTGGTTGATCCAAAGTGGGAGGAGCTCTGAACTGTACCTAATTTTTTTCACGATGTCTGCCACGGCGAAAAATCCTGCTCTCCCGGGACCACGGGGAATTATCCAGATTCTGTGGTTGTAGTTATTTTTCTTTTGTTTTTATTCAGGCTGGGAACATTTGTAGCATACTCGAAGACAGGCATATTTTTTTGCGCGGAACAAGAATCATACACCGGGACACTAAGATAGCAGGTGTCAGCGACGTAGAAACGGCGTCGTTACCGCAGCAGATAAAGCCGAAAGTCGGAGAAAATAACGTCGAGCGCGGAAAATGTCGCCTCAACGCAAACGATCACTTAATGGAGCATAACAGACATTTGTGCGCGACGTCGCTTGATTTAATTAAAATGCAAAGTAACTTAACTGAAATGGGAGCGGAGCTTTGCGCACTGAGATCAGGACACTAACGGGAACTCTATGTTTACTTACGTGGGAAAGTGCAAATAATACGCAAAATACGTACGCGTCCGTAGAGCTGGAGACCCACCTTAGAAGATCCGAATTATTTCTGTTGTGAATTAAAAGTGATATCTGGCGAAAGGTGAGAAAACACATTCATTGTACCTGTTTCGTGTTCATCTAAAGAGATACTTTCTTTTCCTGCTATTTCACAATGTGAAATACTAAAATCTATTCGTAGTTAAAAGGCTGTTTAAAGAACTATTATGTATCTGAATAATGTGTCTTAATTATTCATTTTTTCCTAATTTCTAGTTAAACAAAAACGTCTCTCTTTGGTGTAGTGGGACGTGGGAGTATAATGGAAACAAGAGTTGGTTAATGTTCATTCTTTGTTTATGCAGTCCTCTTCCCAATGGAGAAGTATGAGAAACTGGCCAAGATTGGAGAGGGCTCTTACGGTGTGGTCTTCAAATGTCGCCATAGAGAGACCGGGCAGATAGTCGCCATCAAGAAGTTTGTTGAGTCGGAAGATGATCCTGTCATCAAGAAGATCGCACTAAGGGAAATCCGCATGCTGAAGGTTTAGAGAGATATAACACTGTGCTCTCACACACACAGCTTAACTGACAGCAAATTAATCACTTGAGATAGTTAAAGTGACACGGGATTTAAGGCACTGAACTCTGGTTTAGTTCAGTAGAGCAGAATCGTGGTGGAGAGTGGTTCCCAGGCCAGATCTGATCACAGGGGCCTTTCTCGATCTTACAGCAGCTGAAGCACGTCAACCTGGTGAACCTCCTGGAGGTATTCAGGAGGAAGAGACGGCTCCACCTTGTCTTTGAGTTCTGTGAACTGACCGTCCTCAACGAGCTGGACAGACACCCTCGCGGGTGAGCCACCAACAGCTTCCGTCCGCGGTGATCCGGCCCCCATCCGTCTGTGCTCATTGACGTGCTGGTCATGCATCTTCGATACAGGGCTGATAGAGTGAGAGAAATGCTCTATTACCATTATGTAATGATGTTATGTATTAATTAAAATGGCAGAGAATATTACTGATTATTTTTATTCACTTTATTATTTAGTTCCACTCTCTTCCGTTATTTTTGTCCATTATTATTTATTTTTTAAGTTTTCCCTTTTTATACTAGGGTGAATATAGCATATGTATGTGAGTTTTAGAAGGGTTTCATGTGCAAATGAAAAGGTGAGGGTCATGTATAGGTGAACATACAGTCTGAAGTGTGTTGCCTGGAAACGAAAAACACATCATGTCAGAAACAATGAGGTTAAATAGCAGAGCTTGTACTCTGAACTCGTTAAGAACATTCACATGCTGCTTGGCTTTTTCTCTAAAGTCAAGGGACAAAAGAATCGTTTAGATTTTTTTTAACGTCAAGCCGTACAATGAGGCAGACCACAAAGACTTGTTACTGCCTGACTAAGTTTTTCTTTCCCACAATGCCCTGCATCAGTAACCTTACCCACCCTGGCAAACAAAGGCGCTGGTTGCCGGGGGAGACGGCACTACAGTTACTGTGGTGACAAGTGAGCTGCTTTGAACCTGCACGCCTTTAAAAAGGCATGAGATATGTGGGCAGCATATTGTCTAACGAGGGCCCCGCTTTCCCCTCTCACTGTCTCCTTCAGAGTCCCGGAGGCTCAGCTGAAGAGCATCGTGTGGCAAACTTTACAGGCCATCAACTTCTGTCATAAACACAACGTCAGTACTGCCGGACTCTGTCGTTATTTCCCCTGTGTGCTCACAGCTTGTGTGTCCTCCCCCTGCCCCCAAGAGGTACATTCTAAGCCATACTGCACCTATTTTTTTTCCCACTATGTTGTGTCACTTAGGCTCTTGATGATGTCATTGTTCTTGCTTGACTGTCTCAGAACTTGTCTGTTTAGCTTAAAGGGTAAAGGGGGAATCCCATGATTATCCGAAACAGCATTCCTGACACAGAGCTCATCTGTCCTCCCCAGTGTATCCATCGCGACGTGAAGCCAGAGAACATCCTCCTGACGAAGGCGGGGGTCATCAAGCTCTGTGACTTCGGCTTCGCCAGGATTCTCAGTAAATCACGGAGGGATTTTCCTGGATTTTTGGCTGCTAATATGCATTGGCTGGCTATTCATATTGGACTGGCATCAGCTTCTCTCCATGTAGCTCACAAACAGTCACCTGGTTGATTCTTGTGTTTGTTTACTGAATAATTTCACTAAAGCTTGCACGGTGTGTTGGTCGTTGACGATTTCTGTGTGCTTTGCACTGCAGCTGGTCCAGGTGATGATTACACCGACTACGTAGCAACGCGGTGGTACCGAGCCCCAGAGCTGCTGGTGGGGGACACTCAGTATGGACCCCCCGTGGATGTGTGGGCCCTTGGCTGTGTCTTTGCAGAACTTCTATACGGGAACCCACTGTGGCCCGGCAGGTCCGATGTGGACCAGCTGTACCTCATCCGCAAGACTCTAGGTACCAAAGGCTAGAGGGGTTGTTAGGGAAGCAGAAAACTAGACCTGCAGAGGGCAGTCCCTGACATTGTGTCAAGCAAGGTTCTTACCTTCAAATATGTCTATGAAAATATCCGTGGTTGTAATAGGTAATTATGTGGTGCAGTGTTATGACTGGTAGTGAAGTTGCAGTGGACACTGGGGTGGACACAGCCTCACACTGCACTGCATAACCTTCTTGTCTCCTTGTCTCACTGCATAACCTTCTTGTCTCCTTGTCTCACTTCATAAACCTCTTGTCTCCTCCTCACAGGTGACCTGATCCCTCGCCACCAGCAGGTGTTCCGCTCCAATGTCTTCTTCAGTGGCGTCAGTATCCCTGAACCAGATACCATGGTAACCTTCTGACTCCATCATAATCCTAATATTAAAATACTTTTGACACATTTTTCATTTATGTACTGATCCTGGATGATTGGCTGATGGATGCTTAGTGATCACTGTGGTGGCTCTCAGTGATTGGCTGACTGGTGCTTGATGACCGACGTGGTGGCTTTCGGTGATTGGCTTATGGATGCTTGGTGATTGACATGGTGGCTCTTGATGATTGGCTAATGCATACTTGGTGATCAACATTGTGGCTCTCAATGTTCTGCAGGAGCCCTTGGAGAAGCGGTTCCTTGGCATCTCTTCCCAGGCCCTCACAGTGATGAAGGTGATGGTTTTCTTTCTGTCTTTATGTTTATATGCCCCTCTGACCTGGGGGGGGGTTATTTATTTTGCTGCTTCAGAGAAAACTGTATGACTTTCACTCCCCACACCCCCACCCCCCACCTCGATCTGGCTACAGTCATGCCTGGTGATGGACCCCTCCCTGCGGTTGTCCTGTGAGGAGCTGCTGGCACTCCCCTACTTCCATGAAGAGGGAGGGGCCAGCTGGGGGCGCGAGGGGGAGCGTGCAGGAAGGAGGCATGACAGGGGCCCCAGACGCAGGCAGCCAGGGGTGCGGATTTTTTTACCATCAGCTGCTACTTCATCGCATATAAAATATTGCTGCATGCATGCATGGTGTAACCTGCTAAATAGTGTTTCCCAATCAGTCAGTCCATGTTTTTGCTTCCTCCATCTGAAAGCATGCAAAAACATGGGCTGTCTGTGGGTCCCCAAGGACCAGATTAAGAAACTCTGGCAACTAGCATCCAGAGGCTGTTCAGATGCAGCCTGTCTCAGCGTAGTTACAAGCGATTTTTACCAGGGGTGTACGGGGAGAAATTGCACCCCCTACTGCTCAAAAGAAAATGCTCTTTGAACATATTAAGGTTAATAAAATTAATTATATTGTGCAGTTATATTTGAAAATGTAGCTTGCATTAGTCATATCAGTGTGTATTAGTAGTTTTTTATACGTCCATGTGCAGCCTGTTTTTTACAAATTTATTTATCTGGTTTAATGACTGGGTGGGCTCTCTCACCTTGCACCCCGTGGAACAGTAGCCTAGAATCACCTACAGTATGAGTGTAGTAGTGTAACATTGCGTTTGGTCAGGGCAGGTGGTCAAGTCACACTAGTGCAGAGAAGACAAGGGACGGCTCAAACTAAAAGTTACTGCCAGTTACTGCTATGCCACAGCACTGGAATGTTGCAGTGACTTGTCAGACTGACTGCCCATAGTCTGCACCTTTGTCTCTGTGTGTGTTTTGTATCCTTGGGCGGATGTTTATTTAGGCTGATTTGTGTCCTCCAGCTCCAGTACCTCCCTCAGCTTCCCAGCAGCAACATCTCACCTGCCCCCGAAGTCAAGAAACTGGTCAAGCCCAGATATGACCACCACCTGCCTAACATCTGACCAAAAGCGACTGAAAGATAAATTGTGTGTCTCTGTACATTTGTCAGTTGAACCGTCCGTGTGAATGGCTGCTTGCGTGCTTGGTCGCCGTGTGTATTGGGGAACATTTTGGGGGCCTGTGTGTGGGGAATATGGGGATTGTAAAATGTAGAAAATGTGTTATTTTAAAAGGCATGAGGAACAGGCACAGAAGTGCTGATAAGCCAGGTGTTTGTAGCTACAACGACAGGCCAGGACCGGTAATCCCTTTAACTGGACTGAATAAATCGAATAGGAAACATTTACAGCATTTTTTTATTATTATTTTTGAAAACATTTATGTAGTAATATTTTCTCTTAAGGTATTTGTAAAAGATATTATTTGTGTTACATGATTTCCATCAATGCTGCGATAAAAATGAATTATGAATTTGTTGTATTTTTAAATACTGTGTCTTTCCCAGCTTATAATATGTATTTTAGTTATGACCATTACTACTATGATCATTTTCAGCTAATCTGTAGCTTTTTCTGGTACTGAACAGTATTTATAGATTTGTCACAGTCATGAATGAGGATTACCAAATACTTAGTCACGTCAGAAGTAGAGTTAGTGAAGAAGGCGTTCATGTATTTACGACATTTACAGGAATATTCAGTTTCTGTTGTGCTTACATTCCTGTTTCTCCCAGTCCTGTAGTTGCATTCTGAGCTAATTAGTATTAGCCTAATTCCACTGGTCGTTTTTGTTACCATTTTTACTTAAGACTTAAAGCATGTAACTTTCCAGACAGGTTACATATAGGATCACCAAGGTTTATTGTGACCAGGAACAACAGTGATACACATTGGTGTATTCTCATAATAAATAGCTACATTAATTTTTAAAATGGCTGCTGTACCTCCAGTGGTCAGTAGGGCGCAGCATTGAGCTGGTGCTGGCACGGCAGGTTGCCAAATTCACCATTAGGATGGAGTCCAGGCTATCAGGCGTCCCTAGGCAGGGAAGGGTAAGGACACCGAGTACAAGGCTGTATCCTCAGCTTGCTCACCTGTAATGAAATGTAGAGAAAGTGAACTGGTCTAAAGGACACAGGTGATACCTGAATCTTTACAGATGCTGCAAAATGTGAAGCTAGCGTGTTTTAGAAAGATGTGCCAACAGAACTGATGCTTACACTGAAGTCTGGCATTTGTGATTGGTTAAAAAAGCTCTTCGTATGTTGTTATAGGAATAAAGCATTTCCTCCCAGTCCCTAAACAGTGGGGTGTTTTGTTTCACAGGCTAAGGGATCCTTTATGTCTTCTTGACGTTGATTTTGTTTACACTGCAGCCAGCACATCCTTACATATACCCCAGAAGACCCGTAAGACAGTCAATGTGAAAGGAAATGTGGGAATCATCTGAGATGAGTGGGAAGGCAGCCATACACTGTAATATCCCCGTGTCACCTAAGTGGATATTTATGTGGCCTTTTAGTGTATATCTGTGGAGGTGTATATCTGTGGAGGTGTGTCACACCTCACGTTTCAGATGTGGAAGTCAGAAGTGGTGTCTTCACTTACCGGCAATGAGGACTATGAAAGCCTTGTGCTGAAGTTTCTGCATGTATGTATGTGGCACCTCAGGACAGACATACGTCATGAGTAAGATCTCATGGATTTTAATGCTGCCCCCCTAGCTTAAAAAAATAAGAACAGCACCAGATCCTGCACAAGACCCATCAGAACCTCATCTATCCCCTGCAATATTGTACTCTGCAAGATTCCATTATCTTTGTTCTGGAGCAATGTTTAATGCCATAACTTCCTTTAATCCATCCATCTTCTATAACCACTTATCCTATGCCGGGTTGTGGGGGCTTGGAGCCTATGGACACAAGGCAGAGAATAACCCAGAATGGGGTGCAAACCCAACACACAGCACACACACCATTTGGCAAGTCCATTTTATCTTAGTATGTTTCATACGGTGGACCCACCATGACATGGGGAGAACATGCAGCTCCACACACAGATCCATGGTAGAGACTTTATCGCCAGTCCCAGAGGTGTGAGATAACAGTGCTACCCACTGTCCCTCGCTTTCTTTTAATCCTCGTCTGGAATATCAATTTTCCCTTTTTCTCGCTAATGCAAACTGCAAGCCAGTGCGGAATACTGCTTATCTTCAGCAGGTAACCGATTTTGAAAGATTATTTGGGCAATACCTCAAGCAGTCAATAGGGGGAGGTAAGGAGGAGGTATTTTGTGGCAAATCACTAAAGCTGCAGATTTATTGTAGTACAGTTGAAGCTGTGAGACCCATTCACTTCTGCAGCAAGTGAATCCAAGCTGTGACAATTGATTTGGCAAAAGAAATGTATGAGTCATGGTGACCGATGCATTTGTTTAACAATTCACCACTCTTTTTGGTTAGAGAGGGAAAGCTCTCCAAGTGGAATACAGTTTAATAGAAATATAGGACAGACAGAGATGGGCAACAGGCAGGGACAACAGGCAGAATCAACAGGCAGCTAGACACAATCACAGCAACTTTATTATCAGCAAAACACCATTATGTAAATGAGCAAAACACCTTTAAGTACCTTTATGTAAATCAGCTTTGACAATACAGAATTTCAGACAGTGTGCTTTATAAATGCAGAGAAAAGTGAAAAGTGGCAGAGAGTTATGCAAGGACGCTGACTAACATATTCGTATTACATGTTGCATGGCTGTGGTTTGATCCAGTACCATAACTGATACCTTGATTTCCTGGCAATCCTCACTAGGACTGACAATGCCTGTCAGGCTTTCTTATTTCTCTAAAACACACGCATACCATCAAACGGTCACCGGGGGGTGGCAATGAGCTGATATTGTCTTGGAAGTCTACCAAAGCTACTATACTCAGGGGTGGGGTCCAGGCTGTCAGGCCCCCCAGGGCAGGAGAAGGTGAAGTTCTGCAGTAAGGACACCAGGAACAGGAAGAGCTCCATCCTTGCCAAGGACTCCCCAACACAGGCCCGCTTACCTAAGACAGAAGATGAGACCTCGGCATTTCCTGACCAATCTGTATATATCACCATTCAGTCCGGAAAAGATGACTGAGGATGGAGGAAGGATCTTTCCCAGGTTAAGTTCGACTTTCTCATTTTTGTAAATGTGTATTTTCTCCAATACAGTTTGTTTAGGTCCAAACATACTGAAACTCATGGAAAGGTCTGATGATTTTCTGCTCTGTGTGTTATTGGCTCCAAGTTACTGTAATTTGAGTTGTTGGCTTTGCCTGAAACAGCTACATTTAACAGGGTTGGTGTTGCTCAGAATGTTGTATCTGCATTTCTACAGTTCAATGGCAAAATTCCCCTAAAATCATATATGTGAACTTCTAGTGGTTGAAGACAACAATTACTTAAAAAAATATTTCATTTAGCGATACTTAAGAGGAATTTTTTAATATATGAAGAAATCTGAATTTATGCATGAATTTGTAGGAGAGCACATGGAAATGACAGACATTGAATCTAACGTTTTGCGTTCAGAAGTATGTCAGACTCATCACCTACCAGCAGAGAAGACCATGAAAGCTGGATTTTTCTTGAAGTTTCCATTGTGATCCAAGAAGTGTCCAGGCTTAAAATCCCATGGGGACGCCCATTGGGAGTCGTCTCTCAACACAGAGTGCAGGAAAGGAATTATAATTGTCCCCTGGAGGACACAGGAATGGTGGTTAATATTGAGGATGGGGGGTGTGTTATGATATGTGTGATATTTCAACCTTTCCCTGGTTCCTCTACCGTTATGATATTTATAGCAGTATCTCAATGTGAATATGTGGGTAACTGTAAGGTATAAGAGACATACAGCCAGTATGTTACTACACTCCAAGTACCTTACCATACTCCCAATGCCTTACCATACACCCAGTACCTTACCAAACTCCCAATACTTTACCATACACCCAGTACCTTACCACACTCCGAGTACCTTACCATACTCCAAATGCCTTACCATACACCCAGTACCTTACCATATACCCAGTACCATAATCCCTGTACTTTTCCATACTCCTCGTACCTTAGGAATGGTGTAGCCTCTGAAGGAAATGTCCCATGTTGCATAATGGGGAACACTGAATGGCACTATATCCAGGAACCGCTGCACCTCATGTATCACAGCATCGGTGAAGGGGAGGGACTTCCTGTCATCCATCATTGGACAACGGTCCCTTCCAATGACTGTGTCTATCTCAAGTTGGGCCTGTTCTACAAAGTTGGAAGATGCAGTAAGCAAATGCTTGAACATAAGTGTGTTAAATGTGACTCTTTGAATGGTATTACTGGGACCCCTACCCTGTATGTCTGGGTGCTTTATAAGCAACATTAGAGCATATCTGAGGGTTGTGCTGGTGGTTTCAGTTCCAGCCAAGAAGAGGTTGAGCACTGTGTATACCATGTTGTTATACTGGAACTCAGAGGATGGGTTGTCCTTCTCCTGTTAGCATGTGGGAAAACGGACAGTTGAAGGATGTAACAAGTGGTTGTATTTTATGATCTGTGTTATGGAGGATGTCATGCACTCTCTGGTCTGTGCATGGTAGGCATGAAGACAGTACCTGGTTGAGTCTTGTTAAGAAACAATCGATGAAGTCCCTTGGGCAGTCAGGAGTCAGGGTCTCCTGATGTTTGTGAATTTTCTCGTTGGCAGAAGCCAAAAGTTCATCAATATCTGCCAAGATTTTATTGTGACGCCCTGGCAGGTGATCCATGAACCAAGGAAAAGTGTTACAAAACTGTGGAAATGAAGAGAAATTCCATTGCTTAAATACTGTATGTGGCACACTGACCAAAAGCTATTTGCTGTCCCACTTATGTACCTCTTAGCATCTGAATCGATGTAATACATATTGAATTCTTGGATCAAAGAAAAACTCGGGGATGGGGACGGGGATGTGTCACCTGTCCCCAGGGACTGCTGATGAACTGCAGAGTCTGGTTGGTGATGCTGAGAAGGCGATGAAAGGCATCATCTTTGTACTCAAACCGCTGGCCAAACACCAATGAGCAGATGACGTTGGACACGGCCTGGCTCAGGACGAAGGTGGGATTACATGGGGCAGCTGGTTCAGGGAAGGATGAGAAGAACAGCATTAAGAATCAGAACCAAATAAGGGAGAAAGAGCGGAAAACTCAATGTCAGGATTTGGAATTATCAGCCACCCTTCAGTCTGCAAACCATTGTCACCCATCACTCCACACATCTTCCACCCAAACACTTCCCTCCCCAACGCACAGTTTGTACTGGCCAGGCTGTCTACTAGGTGTTTGCTCTCCTCCTGAATCCATTCCTCCATCCTTTTTCGTCCCATGCCGAAGTCCCTGAGCGTGCTCAGCGTAAAACGTCTCAGCTGACGCCAGCGATGCCCATTACTGATCACCAAACCTAACAGAATAATAACCCATAATCTTTCAGAACACAGGCAAATCCATAACAGAGACCATATCAGCTAGTCATCATTGTCCTCTTAAATGAACTTCAGTTTCACATATGGTGATTACCATAGCCTTTTGTTATTTTTTGAAAGATCGGCAAGGGGGCTCGGCCAGTGAAGTCTTCAGCTTGGTCCACCAAAGCCTCCTTCACAGTTTCATATCCCACCAAAACTACACAACGCTGAGGACCGACGTAAACCGTCATCACCGGGCCATGACTTTTACTGAGCTGAAAAACAAGAGTGAAGCACCTCAGGGATGACCCTAAAGAAAAACGGAATGGTATAATTTGCTGATTAGGGAGTACAAGATGTTAGTGACGATATGGGACAAATTTTTAGAGAATTTTTTTTCCAAGAGCTGACCCCCCCCCCCCGCCCCCAAAAAAATAGAGTCTAGAGCCACCTCTGGTGAGGATATCATTCTTTGTCATAATGGTTTGTTCAGAGAAAAAGGAGAGTGTAAATGCAGAAACTCTCATACACACACGTTCTGGTCAACAGCATTTCCACCAAGAAAGCTCATTTACTGCTGGTAAGATTGTCAACCTGGCTTTGCACTTAACCAGTATTTAAAACCTGCAATAAATGGACACTAGATTGCTGAAGATCAACTTAAAAAAGGAAAACTAAAACATATGCAAAAGTAAAGCAGGAGTTCACAGATAAAGTCCAACAGACACAGTCGGTTTCAATCAATAGAATGGAACAAATTTACAGAATTTGGACGGTCTGGCCAGTTAATAGGTAAACAATTCACTGATATGTACTCAAGGGCTGTGGAGTATTTACCTAGAACAAAGTATTAGTGAATAAGAAACTCTGCAGACATGGCTCTTAAAAACAAAGTGTTAGAATGAGCATATCATGTAGGTCTGCTCATGTTCTCTGCATAGTCTCACCTTGAGGATACTCTTGAAAGGAGCATTTCTGTCCAGCTGCATTAGGTTCCCCAGCAGAGGCAGTGGTTTGGGGCCTGGTGGGAGATTAACATCCTTATGGCGCCACCCCCAGCTGAAAAGCAGCACCAGAACCAGCACGAGGCCAGCTAGAACCAGGGTAGCGGAGATCTCCATTTTCTTCTCTCTCTGTAGCAACACAATCACTGCACTAACTGCTATCCTTCTTGAGATATTTCTTCTTTTCTTCCTTCTGCTCCTTTTATTTTATTCCTTTGCTGTTGTTTATGTGGCTCACTGTAGCCTAACCCGGGTTTGTTTGTTTTTTTGTCTGAAGTTGAGGGAGGAGTTTGAAGCAGGGCAGAGTTTGAACGTCATTAGATGTCCATTGTCTTCTTTCATCCCATCAACAAAGACAGTACCTGAATTTCAGTTTTCCCTTCTCTATTCCTCTTGTGTCTTCTTTTCATACTTGCCTGCAGCAGAAGTTGTATTTATTTGCTGTCATTGCAGGTATGTATATGAGGTGGGTGGAGACTAACGTTATGCAGGGCAGAGTTGAACCACAAGCTCCTTGTGACATTTTACCCGGAGTATGCACCTGTTATCTTATGTTTTCGTTATCCAAAGGTAAAATAAACAGTCTGATCACCAGTCCCTCTCATCATAAAACAAACACACAGAAAGGAGATGGTGTTGCTCTGTTTCTATTCATTCACAAACACCAGGCACACGTTGACAAACAACAAATACACTACAAGGCGACTTTCAATGGTCAAGGATTTATATTTGTCATTGTGCGAATCATTTACACAACTACAGCGAAATATATTGAGGCGTCAGGCAGACTAAGGCATGGCAGGAGCAGAGATGGACACTTGCTTGCCAGAAAAAACATGCTCTTTATTAGTAGTCTTGAAAAGGACTACGTCAGGCACCCAAGGAGCACCAAGCCAAATATAACCAGGGAGAGTCAGGGAGGTTAGACACTGGACATTAAAATACACACGGTGGGAGATGTATACACAGCTAAGGACACATGAGGATCGTACAGGGTGCACAAGAGACATGGTCAAACACATGCGCGAAAACAGGGAATGTAAACATTAACATTAACAACAACAATACAAGGGCTATTTACAACTTGTACGCGGGGCATGCTGGGACATGCGCCCCGCCGGTGCTACAATATTATTACGGAGGCTGGTAGTTTAACACACATATTATACATACCAATTAACCCAGTATTAAGTGCTATAGAAACTATGAACTATATATATATATATACACAAACTTTTTGTCAACAGCCATAGCACCAGACGAGGTCATCCATCTGAAACTATGCAGGTTTGGGCCTGGCCAACCTTGCATGCACACTTTTGGACTGTGGGAGGAAACCGGAGCCCCCGCTGGAAACCCACACGAACACAGGGAGAGCATGCAAACTCCACACAGAAAGGTCCTACGCCCAGCCAGGGGACTGAACTCAGAACCTTCTTACTGTGAGGCAGCAGTAATAACCACTGCACCACCCAAAAATAGAAATAGAAATTTTATACATAATTTTGTCTGATTACAGTACACCAGACCATCATAAATTAATCCCACTGTGCAATATTCACGGAATATGAAATATGCAATACACATCCACCAAAATCCATACCCATACAAGCATGAGTGCTGAAATGAGCCAGACATTACTGATTACCCCCGATAGATGTTTGTAATTGACAGCCATAATGCTGAAACAGGTATTACACAATTGTGTTGTGGTACTGAGAACTCCTGAGTCATCGTGACTCCAATCCTGAAGGACTTTGAGTGGCAGGACAGCAAGGTTACCAGTATCAAAAGCGCCAAATGAATTGGACAGACCAATAAGCAATCTGGCAGAGCGAACTGAACCGGAATCCTGCAATTTATCCTACAGCAATAGCAACCATCTCCTCAATCATCCCAGCTGAGCTGACTTTTTCTGAACAGGGTAAAAACAAAGCGTGTAGGGCCAGCTGTCTACTAGGTATCTGCTCTCCTCCTGAATCCATTCCCCCAACAAACCCTGTTAGTGATGGTCAGACCTCACAGGAAACAAGAGGAACTCAAGAGTGGTTCTCTTATAGTCTGTACCTCACACAAATCCATGCCAATAGTTCTCTTCTCCTACAATTTAACAGTATATTTTTGGTCACAGATTAATGATATACCCTGTGAGAAAACTGAACAGATCATTTTCTAAATATGAGGCACAGACAGCGTTAAGAGCAAAAAGTAAAGGAGGCGTGGGATTAATGTGACCTTCCACTCATCAACTGATTAAACCTGCTTCCCACAGGTCATGGTGTGGCTCACTTCAGGTTAACCCTGGTCATTACTGGCAGCAGATGATAATCCCACTAGTCCAGGCTTCATTCAGTGAGATCCTGCTCAATGTCAACAGTTTTTTACCATAACCTCTCAGACCCTTATATATGAAAGCAATAGGAGCTCGGTCTGAAAAATCCTCAGCTTGGTCCACCAAGGCCTCTTTGAGAGCTTCATAGCCCACCAGAACCACACAACGCTGAGGACCGACGTACACAGTCATCAACAGGCCATAACCATTTACTGAACTGACAAAGAAGAATGATGCACATGTGAGAACACCGTTCACACCAGAATGGGTTAGAACCATAACTTTACAGCAGAAACCAGTACAAAACCTATATAGTGGGAATTCATTGTCTATTATTATTAACTGGAAAGATGCACCAGAAACCAGTTTTCGTCTTGGGCAACGAGATGGAATAGATTAAAGGTAAAGTTAACATCGGAGATCCATAACTTACACCAAACTGCACAAGCAGGACTTATTCGAGTCTCACCTTGAGGATACTCTTGAAGGGAGCATTTCTGTCCAGCTGCATTAGGTTACCCAGCAGGGGCAGTGGTTTGGGGCCTGGTGGGAGATTAACATCCTTACAGCGCCACCCCCAGCTAAAAAGCAGCACCAGAACCAGCACAAGGCCAGCTAGAACCAGGGTAGTGGAGACCTCCATTAACATGTCTCTCTCTCTGCAGTTAGAGCACCACCCAGCCCACAGCTTTCCTTATTTATACGTTTTCCCCTTTCACCTTAATTTCCCTGCTTCTTCTTTTGCTACTGCTTGTGTAGCTTCCTGCAGCGATTCCTCTGTTGTTCTGTTTTTACCTCCAGGAGAGGGAGGAGACTCAGACAGGTCAGAGTTGAACTAATGACTCTTCTCTTCACGTATAATTCTATACAGCTTCTTTCTGTTCTGGCCCTTCAGTCAAAATATACAAAACAAGAATGGCGGTTTTGGAATGTGAAATATTGTACCAGAAAACAAAATGTGCTGTTTTTTCCAGTTGTGTGCTGAATAGTAAAATTGTGAAATGTATTAGATTAGTATTGCTGCAGTTTACATATAAATAAAATGCTATACATCTCCCCAGATGTTTTTATTTGCTGACAACAATTTTACAAAAAGTAAAATAAAATACATTTTGCTTTGTTGACTTTTCATGCTGTAAGGTTTGCCTGATTTCTTTCTTAAAACACCCATGAAGCTGATTTTGGGCTAATATCTGTGATATGTGATCAGGGGCGACGTAAGGGGGAGGAAAGCTAGAACGATTCCAAGGGCCCCTGAGTGACAGGGGCCCTAAAAAATTAGGAAAATAACTGGATTGGTTTGGACTGGGGGGCCTAATATAACATGCTTTCATGGCGCCCAAAATCTCTAGCAACGCCCCTGTGTGATCTGTCATGAAAGTTGAAAGCAGAATCATCAGCTTCAGAGGCATTATTTTTCCAACATAACTTATATAAGACAGATAAGTCCTCTGCTGACTGATAGTTCTGTATTTGGTGGATTTTCAGCTGGTCTTTCACATTCCATCTGGGCTAGCAGACGAAGGCTGTGCTGCTCTGTGCATGTGGAGATGAAGGAGTCATTATTATCTGAAACAGGGCCGCTTTTATAATCCCGTAGGATTAACTACCAAGCACATCCGGGCATCGCGGCTTTGCCCTGTGCTACTATGCTACTATACTGCGACTGGCTGTAGAGGAAACAAATAAGCCCTATCATTTGCAACATGTTGTGAGACCCACACAGACTCTGAGGTCAGTCACGATGCATTGGTGCAGTTTCCCAAAAAAATGTAAAATAGCAGACAGACAAATATTCAGAGCAACAGCAGTCTTTATTTGAAAACTCATCTCTGTTATGTTTCAAGCTGACTGGAGCAGTAAAGCAATAAAAATCAGGGAAAACAAGGCTGTTATATATCAATAAATAACGTGCTTATGGTAAGTACTGTATTTGAGGATTTGATCAATTGATCTTAACTGTAGGGGTCGATAGGAGAGGAAAGTCTTTGGATTTAACCTCATTTTTGTTTTCTAGAAGGCAAATCCCCCACAGTCAAAGGTGTCGAAGTCAGAGTCGCCCTCGAAGTCGAAGCTGTGGATGTTCGGGGAGTCGACAGCATGGTGCTCTCCTGCCCTCCCTAATCCCGAAAGCTCTCTGGAGGGATTCGAGTCTGCTGATCTGACGTTATGAGATGGGGGACACAAAGAGCCGAGGTAGCCCAGCGCGGAGGACGCTGCCGCCCCTCGCATTAGTAGACAGACCGCTCTCACCGCTCGCGCATCGCTGCTGTTTCCGTGCCGAAGGCAGTCAGGAGAACGTGGGGGTGGAGCCACAGGTCCACTCTGCACTGCCCGCTGGGAGATGGTGCCTGTGGTGTAGAAACAGGAAGTTCACAAACAGGAAGCTCACAAACAGGAAGTTCACAAACAGGAAGTTCACAAACAGGAAGTTCCCGGCAGGCAGCACAATGACAACCACAGACAGGAAAGCCATTGGTGGGAAGTTACTTAGCAACGGTTACAAAAGGATGTGCACACAGACGGAAAGAACTCTGGGAGATCAAGAATTAGGAAGAATCACACTTTAATGGGGTTATAAAATCTATTATTATCCATAGAGACTGACTACCTTTCCCCCTCCTGAGAGACTGGTAGTAGGAGGTGTTGTTCTTCTCACTGAGCAAGGCGGCTGGGGTTTCCCCTTCTCTGAACTGGGACGATACAGGGTCTCCATCCATGATGGAAGTGGTCAGGCTAGGCTGTCTTTTCCAGGATGGCCCATTGGAAGCTACACCCTAAATCAAACGACGGAGATGTACTGCCATCTGGTGGAGGACTGGTGAATTGGCGTGTCTCTAACGTCAACCTGTCCTAACTTGACCAGTCACAAATGTCTTTTATAAACAGCTCACCTACTTTCTGCATATCTGTCACCCTTTAAATAAACTTCCCTCCACAATAACAGGTACCAGACTGAGGATGCCGCCGCCCTGTTGTCTAATGCTCCGCTGAGTCTGTCTGAATCAGAGCATAAGTCTACATGGAAATGTCAAGGCATCATCTCCTGGAGTCTCCTGGTGGTGAAGTGCGCCCCACGCTGGCCATCAGTATATTACAGCTCTCTGAAGGTGTAATAGGTTACAGCTCACCTGTCTCACTCTCCTCAGCATATTCAGCCACTGGCTGCATAGAGGGATAAATAGAAGGTTAACAGCTTCCGGATTGGCTCGTGAAATTAAAACAGCGAAGGCTGCAGAGACGCAAACGGGAGAGTACATTTTAAAAAGCGCAGCCTAGATGTTTACATGCTGCGCTGCATCGCCCCCCCCGGATGTAAACGCTCACCTGCAGTCGTTGGCATTTTCTGCCAGCAGCAACAGGAATTTGTCCTGAGTGAGGATCAGCGCCAGGCAGCACTCTCTGCGGCCTCCCGGGGGGAGGCGGGGCAGGTCCAGGATCTCCCTGCCTTCAGCGATGAGCAGGCAGTCCTTCGACAGAGACACCACCTGGTTCGGAGGTGAATCTGCATCACGACACACCAGCAGGTTTCCCTGGGCAGTCAGCACCAGGTACTTCTCCTTCCACTGCTTAAACACGAAGCCCCCTGGGGAAGCAGGAGGGAATCGATCAGAGAGGGTTTCGGGGGCGGGGGGGGTGTTGGGGTGAAAGGGGTAAACCCAGGGTGCGGGATTAAGACATGCATCTGCATATTCAGCTCTGACAGCTGAAAGAGAATGTCACAAAGGGCAAATCAAATAGTCTGGGGTTCGTACTGGAGATCCGGGTGAATTATTATACTTTCCAGTGTAACGTTTACCTCCCTCTTAACACAGAAGATGGGAAAACGATGGCATTTAGGCACCACGACTTAAATTGCACCCATCGCTGTTTACTTTGAGAGATATGAATAGGATTTGAAAGGTCGCTCTGTCACACTGGAGTACATTCAAGCATTCTTGCAATTTCAGAGATGATGCCAAGCAGATGGGTGGAGTTCTGTTGGCTCGGGTTCGAGTCACTGCAGCTCCGCCTAACTGACTAACAGCTGTATCACCAACGCACCCCGACAAAAGGAGAAAGAGTGATAAAGGAGGAGAGTAGGGTGATGGATGGACGACTGTCCTACCGTACTTCCTGAGGAAGCCAAAGTGTGTGCCCTTGGGATTCATGGTACACAGGAGTCTTCCACTCAAGAAGCAGAAGGGACTGGAGTGATCCCACTGCGCCTCTGTCCGAGATACTGTCCACGAGGGTGGGGGATTAATCCCAGTTACAGGAGGACACAGGCGACAACGAAGCCACGTGACACCAGGCTCATGGATGCCACAGTAATAATCATGATGAAAAAAATCTTGGAAGATTATCTGGATTTTCCCCACCATGCAACGCCCTCCCCCATTCCACACACTAATACTGTCTGCAAGTTAATAACCTTCTCTCTGGCTGGAGGGTGCATACAGTTCCTGTTCTGACAGCGCTTGTTGGAAAACAAGACTATAGATCTGAATATTATGGGCATACTTTTCCTTTTAGCTATTTGTATTAAGAAATCTATCCATCAAAGGGTATGACAGAGATCTTTCAATCAAAACAAGCGCATTTTAATAAAGGTGCCATAGCTTAGATCCACCACACAGGGGCGACAGCTCCTTATTAGAAGATTTTACGTAAAAGGAATTTGCTTGTTTTTGTTCTTTGTTTCTCCTTCTCTTTCACTAAAGGTAACTCAGTTTCACTGGTCCGGGTAGACCAGCCAGTGAGTTGCATTCCTTAAAACGCCGCCGTCATGAACCTTAAACTCGCTTAGGATCCTCCCCTCAAATTTTCGCCCTCTTGGGGGCGGCAGTGTTCAGGTCTTTCCCACCTGTGGGAAAAAGAAAACGATTTGGGTCAACAGGTTTAGCATGTTGCTGAAACAATATGCCAGCTAAGATTTAAAATTCTGATAAAGACTCCATGATTCCCTGATCCGTTGCCATCAGCAGCACACTACCCCTCTGTCTGTCTGTTACAAACTCGGGGGGAAAATCCCCCCATCTTTTGTTGGGCTGCTCTTGATGGCAGTGAGCCCCCTCCCCAGCTCACCCTGTGTTTCAGTATGCCCATATCTGTGTGTGCTGCGTGAGGCCCATTTAACCAGCGCGTCTGAAAAGACGAGACATACAATGGGGTCTTTCTCAGTCTCACTCCATCTCTATTAAAGACCCTGGGAACTTACTCACTGTCCCTGCGCACATTTAAAGGGCCAGTGTAAACTCAACCCCAAAACAACATTATCTGTCCTGGTTGCGGAGAAGGGAAGTAATTGAAAGTCAACCACTGCAGAGATTAGTATGAATCCAGTGGCTTACAATTTGCAAAAGTTCCGTGTGTATAAATATAAATGTGTGCAATAGACCCGAGAACCTCGGAAGCCCTTGTTCAAACACCCGGACTAACCCAGTCCGCATTACGTGTTCTCCGTCTTGTTTGAACTTGCAGAGTGGCTAGACCTCATCTTATTAAGCTCATGAAAGGGAAACCATCACTGCCCCAGGCAAAAAAACATATGAAAAAGAAAATGTTAAAAGTATATCGCTCTAATCAGTGATTGTTTTCTTGAGGTTTATAATCGGTCATAGTCTGCTGTGTTACAGTACATGTATAACCAGAATGGGCTTAGAATCGAATATTTCCAATACAGTTTCGTTGAGTACATTTCCTGAAAGTGCTGTGATCATTTGATTATTTATTTATACATCGTTTGATGTCGATTTGATGTAAATGCCATGAATAAACTATTACCCTATATTATATTTCATGGTTGGCCTACTATATTATATTATAATAGCTCATTAAAGTTTTCAGGAATAGTAATATCAACTTTAAAATACTCAGAAAAAGACCCATAAACCGCACGACGACGAGCATTTATGTGTGTTTATTCATCTGTGCAGATTCAATGTAAAATTCACTGATTCCGTGATGTAGGTTGCTGCAATCAAAAATGTTCGGTAAAAAGAGGATTCTAGTAATAAATGTTTAAAACATTCGACTATTTAACATTTATATAAAAATGTGTAGGTCTATATTGATGTTAAATCGATTCCTTAAGCCATTTAATTGCGGAAATAATAATAATAAAAAATGTATACACTTCAGCACCCCCCCCTGTGAGAAAAGCATTAAGAAAACACGGGGGTGGGGGCAAAACAGAGATTGGGAGGTGCGCGGGAGGAGGGGGGAGAGAATGGAAGGAAGTTTGGAATTTGAGTCGTGGGGGGGGGGAGAGGGGGGAAAAGTTTGGAGGCAACAGTCGGAGATGTGAGAGGAAAGTTAGTCAAGGGAAAACAGCTCCATAAGAAAAAGGAGAAGACAGGAATACGGGACTGCAGAAACTACTGGAAGTTTTTCGGAGATAAAACAGATAAATAGCTGATCGATGTTACGATTTTTTAAAATCACTTTACTCGGTTTCACTTCTTATCGTATGTTACCGTGCGGTCTAAATAAGTTTTCTGCAATCAATACCTTTTCTGAAGACCAGTTCCCCCATACCTTGAATTTAACATGATGGACTACAATCTTCTGAACTTGATATAAACCCGTGTTTCTTTTATTATAAAGTGAGGGCGGGGAAATTGAAAAGAAAAAAAACTGGTTTTGAAACTGGCTTCTAAGAGCAGACCTGTAAACAATTTATGAAATAATACGACGTGCGCCCGTGAAGTTAGTGAACTTCGCCCTGGTCCCGGTCTGGCCGCTGGGGGATGCGCTGATGCGGATCTCTGTGGGGGCCGGCAAAGGCGAGGAGGAGAGCGCTACACGAAAGCAACTTTCCACTCGACCAAAGGCTCGGGAAGGCAACATGGGTCATATGAACGGTTCCTTGCTGCTGGTGGCCTTTCTTCTGATGTGTCCAGTCGCCGCGAATACCCTGCTTGGTAAGAAATTACTGTGTATTCTGTATTCGCTTTACAGATGCTTAAATCATTCATCGATATGATCTGAGTGCACTCACCTTTTAAGTTTGCCAAAGTTACTTGCTTAAGTACACCTGATTGTTCAGTATATTTTCCGGAACATGTCAATAATGACTTGGTACCCATGTGCCCTGGTATTATTGACAGTTCTACAGTCTTTCGGCCCTTTTTTCATTTGTGGTGTTTACAGTGCCACCAGAATGTGTTGATAGAAATCACGTACCATGTTTCCTCACCTGTACCTGTTTGTCAGGTCATGCTTGGTCGGTGCCATTTTTGAAGTAATTGACATTTATTTTTTTATATATATATTTTTTATTTTATTATTATTATTTTATTTATTCCCTCCACCACCCCCTGTCTGCGGAGGACTACTTTCTTAGTGATTGACATTTATAGTGAAACTGCTTTCGAAGATGTCTGCTCTGGGGGAATCTGCATGTCACATAATACCTAGGCAGGGAAAAAAATCTGTGAAATCGATGCAAAATAATTTGTGCCTCATTGGGCAAATCTCGCCTGAGCCAAAGTATTTGTTTTGGTGTGATGTCTGTCAGATGGTTCCTTTGCAGTACCCTACTTTCAGCTTCAACTGTGGGCATCACTGGCATGCAGGGAAAGATAAAAGGTTGTGGATGGAGTTCATTAATAGCAATTAACACACAATAAATTGACCCTCAGGTAGAAGCTGCGAGGTTGACTGTGAAAACACCTCAATTGTTTGAAGAATTTTAACATTTGCATGTGAGACGGCAGGAGTTTGTTTGGAAGAAGCAGGCTGCAGACGTCTGCCAGAATGCGATGGCCATGCGTAAAGTGGTTTCTTCTGTTCTCAACCGATATGAAACCATTTGCATGGTATGGTCCAATTTGCTGAAAATCTCTCAGCTTTGGCGTTAGTGGGATAGGATGAGGATCAGTCATAGCTGTCTACCTGTCATGAGTGCTTTAAGAAGAGAAGTGGAGAAAGGTTGCAACAGCAGGTCTAAGGAACGGTCCGAGGATGTTCCGGAATGCTCATGCTTATTAGCTTCTTGCTTTGTTTGGGAGACGTTGTACAGCTTCTGCTCCAATTCTCCTGACACTTGTACGTGGGCCATGGGCGTCGCCGCCATTAAATCTGAGGGGGACGTGTCCCCCTCACATCTCATAATTATTTGTTAGGACCCCCCCACATTTAACATAAAATATTAGTTCACCCAGCACTGTGTCCCCCCCTCATTCAAAATGCTTCTGACGCCCCTGACGTGGGCATTCATTGGACGCTCAACATAGCTGCACTTATGCCAAGTCGACTCCTTGACAGCTGTCATCTGTTTGTAATGGACGTCACTGTGGAGGAAAGCATCTGTGAAATAAACGTACAAAGACACGTGGCAGAGAGACCTGGGTGAGCCATAAGCAAGGGAGACTGAGGGGGAACATGATCCAGGTATATTAGATTCTAACAGGTCTGGATGCTATTCAGCCAAATGGCAACTTCAATATTAGTTTAAATACTAGAATCCGTGGCCATAAGTGGAAATTATTAGGAGAACATTTTAAAATGTAAAAAGAAAGTACTTCTTTACACAGTGTGTAGTTAGAGTATGGAATAGTCTTCCTGTTAGTGTAGTGCAAACTAAAACCCTGGGTTCCTTCAAATCAGAGCTAGATAAGATTTTAACAACTCTGAGCTATTAGTTAAGTTCTCCCCAAACGAGCTTGATGGGCCAAATGACCTCCTCTCGTCTGTAAATTTCTTATGCTCTTACGTTCTTAATGCTGAATGCGTTAGGGAGAAACCAAGGAAGCCGTTTAGGAGACTGGGTGGCGTATAGATGAAGGAAGGTGTGCGGTGTCAGACTGCATCTGGCAGTGTTCTAAGAAACACCCTGCTGGCCTATAGCGAAATGTAACATCCAAGAAAGGATTTCAAAAGAGGATCCGCAAGGGTAGGCGAGGGCCTCTCAGTATAAACAGATCCCTGGCAGCTTGAGATACTCTGTATGAGTCTCACCATAATGCCTGTGCATGTTCTCCTGCTAACATTCCCTACCACATTTTGTACATTTTCTTTTTTTTAATCCATGAATGGTCCCATTTTGCATTTCGAGGGAAGGCGAGCATCTTTGTCAGTGTGCAAATAACTGGAATATTATATAAATCCGCACTTTCGTCCGTTTGCTGCAGTAGGAACCTCGGAAACAATGTCAGCATGATATAAAGGATACGCCCCATAGGGGTTCAGAGGGCAGAGGTCAGGGGTTAAAGGTTAAACTTTGAGAAAGACAAGCATTATAGGCTGTCAGGCCTGAGAAGGCTTGTCTTCTCATCGCATGGCAGGAAGCCAAGGCGTGAGAAAGTATCCATACTATGTTCTGGCCTGAAAATACAGTCACATGCTCACATTCTGCGTGATGTTGAACGCTCAGCACCTTTATCAGAAAGTGGCAGTGCCATGCTGTGGTTAATGAACTGGGAGAGTGATCACTTTAACCGGGCAGACCCTTGTATCTTCTCCACAGCGCTTGTGTTTTTTGGCCACAGTTGAGAATATGTACATGGTAATATTTAAGAAGTCTGTGGATATGGGTGTGTCCTTGGACGGCTGTTGTACTTTCAAGAATGTCCTTAACCTGAACTGTCCCAGCAAGATATTATTCAGCTGACAGCTTATCTATGGTATACGGCTGGGAAGTAAAATGCTAAACGTTACTTGGGTGTTTTATCAGCTCGCTGGCACATTCTTGAGATTTTTCTCCTTAAGTGAGCATGAGGGGGGATTTGAGGGGAAACAGGGACAGAGCAGAGCTCTGTGATCACTGATGGTGTGGCTGACGTACATTCCCATCAGCTGCACTCTCTGGCTCTGCTGGACAGCGGCCTGGCGTGACCGAACAGCAACGTTCTTAACTGCAGAAAAATAGTCAAGAAAACCAAGAGTTAAATAGTACTAAAAAGAATGGAGGTTAAAAGAACCTGAGATTTACTCACCATCAGGGGTTCTTTCAGGAAAAATGCAAGACAGACAGGGGGAAAATCTGACATAAATGCAAGATCAAATTTCCAAAAATCATTGAGTCCATCATTTGTTTAGCCTATAGCCTAAAGTCAGGCTTCCTCATCATATTACAGTACTAGGAACCAAAACTCATGAAAACATCAGTTTTCATGTAATCCAATGAAGAACTTTCATTAAATTTGCCAAAACTCACGCAGTCCACGGAAATGGTACCTACGAACTGGACAGAGTGAGTTTTGGATATTTTCTCTTCAGCTCCAAATAAACCTTAAACGTTTGTAGCTGGTGGATAAACAATCATGTGCCTGTACAAGACAATATTATTATCACGTCCGGGAAGAACAGAACAGGCTGAACCCAGATGCAGGAGACCCAGAGGTTTATTGGGACACCGAACAATAGACAAGTCCAAAGCGGCAGGCAACAAGCGATGGTGGAGAAGCCAGGCAGAGGGTCGTGAGCCGGAGAGATCAATCCTACGAGGAGGCACAGGACGGGAAGACGGGCACCTCAGGGAACACAGATGAAGCAGGGCAGGGATCAGGAAGACGAGGCGGGCAGGCAGGGCAGATGACGTGGCACAAAAGACAAGAGAGGAAGATTGTTTAGTAGGGCTCATGAGAGCGACGATACTTCGCCCTACTAAGCAATCTTCCTCTCCTTGTTAAATAAACCTCTGGGTCTCCGACATCTGGGTTCAGCCTGTTCTGTTCTTCCCGGACGTGACATCATACTTCACAACAGTGGTTAGTCAGAGTGCCGGTTAAATAGACGATCGTAATGAGGCTTAGTCACGTGGCCCCGCCCACCGAGGCGTGACAACTATTTTGCATGTTTAACAGTCACAGCGGCTGTGCGTATTTTACGCTTGTATTTCTGGGGCGTTACAGGTGTAAAATATATGCCGCAATGGTTATTTGAATTGGTAGCTTTGCGCTTCAGTGCATGGATCTATCGACCTACCCAGCCATCTTGCTGCCACTCATGGTGGGTAGGGTCGCGGGACTTAGAGCATATCCTTGGCAGCACAGGGTACAGTTGCCCTCTAGGGGTCGCACTGTGTGAAGTTGAATCACCTGCGGTTCTCCGTTGGTTCCCAGGGCCATGGTTTGTCCGGGACCCCGCCAATGTGACGCTCTCCCTGGGCAAGGCAGTGCAGCTGCAGTGCCGGCTGGAGATGGTGGGGGGCGACAGGGAGCTGCCGGACGTGGTGTGGCAGAAAGACGGCGTGGCTTTGGACACCACCGACACGAACCAGGTGGAGATCCCCATCACCGAGGAGAAGTGGCAGATTATCAGCAAGCTAAGGTGGGTGCCGAGACCGTTCACCATGCTGGGTTTGTCCTCCTAGCCATGGGCCATGATTCACAAAGGTCTCTGTGTCGCCCTACAGCATCGAGAGTGCCCAAGTCCTGGACATGGGGGATTATCGCTGTGTGGTGACCACTGAGGGACGGCAGGTCATTTCACTGCAGGGCCACATCCAGCTGGAAGGTGAAGCTGCTCCCGGGAGCCAGGGCAACCTTGTTAGCTAGAGTGATGTCATAGCCATGCTTTCCTCCGTTTCCCATGATGACTGTGAGGTCCCTCCCACTCAGGCCTTCCTCACTTTTCCACGGAGCCCCAAGACATGACAGTGATGGCCAACGTCAGCTTCAGTCTGCACTGCGTAGCCCATGGTCCACCAGAACCAGTCCGGGTCATCTGGCTGCAGGACGGGGTGCCAGTAAATTCTCTGATGGACCCCATGTCCCTGTCGCCCTCCACGCTCACCCTATCAGGTGAGCCATCTCACCCCATCCACACGAAGCTGACCCACACCAGTCAGGTGCAGGTTTGTGTGTCTGTAGCCAAGCCTTTAGTGCCCGGTGAAGATCTTTCCATTACGGCAGTGCAAGATGCTGGGAGGTTACCTTTTTGTTAGCAGCCGATTTACACCTCGAAAGCAAGAAAGTGTTAACCTGGCAGGCTCCGCCCTCCTCGGCATGGCTGGTCTGCCCCCCCCCCCCCCCC